TAGCAACAGAAATGTTGGAGACAGTTGTGGTCATATGTCAAGGACTACCTGTGCTTGTGTAAAGCAGGTTGGTTGTGCCAGGTTATTGGAAATTTTTTTTTAAAAAAGTTAGAATTACTGCAGCAGAAAATCACAGCAAACATAAAGTGTACAACACACTGGCATTCGACTCATCTGGTAAATATGTTCTATATTCAAAGGTTCTCTATTACAGGTAGTGCTTGACATACAACCACAACTGATCCCCAAATTTCCATTGCTAAACAGGACAGTGCAACCGTTATAAATACGAGTCAGTTGCCAAGTGTCTGAATTTTGATCACGTGACCATGAGGATGCTGCAATGGTCGTAAATGTGAAAAACGGTCATAAATCACTTTTTTCAGGGCTGTTGTAATTTTGAACAGCCACTAAACAAATGGTCATTAAATGAATGGCTGTAAATTGAGGACCACCTGCATAACCACATAGTTAAAAAAATACATCCAGCTTTAATGGATCATAAAAGGAGCTGCAGTTGTATTCCCACCCCTTCTGAACTATCTCATTCAATTAAAATCCAAAAGTTGCCGAATCTTCTACCTGCCAAGATAAACCTCAATATATAGACCAAATTGGCTTCACTTCAAAAGAAAAATGTAAACAATTTTTACAAAGAAGATTCTAATCTTTACATCATAGTTATGAAGGCTGCTTCCACAAGATGATGGCTCCTTGAACTACCAGTCAAAACACAAGAACAATTATTCCACATGTCCTTCATTAATTTATGTGGGATTAAAACAAAAAACCAAGGCTGAAGAAATAGAATAAAAACAGACCAAATTATATATGGTATAGGACAGTGATGGCGAGCCTTTTAGAGCAGTGGTTCTCAACCTTTCTAATGCCGCGACCCCATAATACAGTTCCCCATGTTGTGATGACCCCCAACCACTTATACATCACCGGGTGCCAGGGGCGTGGCCAAAGAAAAAGGGAATAAAATGGTGGACAGCCTTGTTTGGCGACCCCCATGAAATGGTCGTTCGACCCCAAATGGGGTCCCGACCCACAGGTTGAGAACCACTGTTTTAGAGACCGAGTGCCCAAACTGTAACCCAAAACCCACTTATGAATCGCCGGGTGCCTGGTGGGCATGGCCCATTGGGTGTGTGTGGCCCATTGGGTGGGCGTGGCTACGGTGGTAACAGCAGACTGGGTGGGACTAAAAAGTTCAATCAACCAATTCCAACTTTGCGAGATCTTTTTTTCCCCGCAAGAAGTTGAAATTGATTGATTGAACCTTTTTTTTTTTGCACATGGCGGCGGAGGCCTAAAGTGAAAAGGTTTTATAAAACCCAGCTGAAGGCCTAGGACTGGGGCGACAGAGTGCGTGCCCACAGAGAGGGCTCTGCGTGTCGCCTGTGGCACGTGTGCCATAGGTTCGCCATCACGGGTATATGGTATTATATATATGGTAGCGGACCCTCATATGTCAGTCTATTATGCCATAATTTGACACCAATATGGCCTTTTGCTTCACTACAGGATGTCCTTAATATACAGCCACAATTAAACCTTAAATTTCTGTTGCTAAGCAAGGCAGTTGTTAACTGAAGTTTGCCCCATTTTACAACCTTTCTTGCCACGGTTGTTAAGTGAATCAGTGCAGTTGTTAAGTTAGGAACACGATTGTTAAGTGAATTCGGCTTCCCCATTGACTTTGTCAGAAGGTCACAAAAGGGGATCACATGACCCTGGGACAGTGCAATCGTCATAAATATGAATCAGTTGCCAAGCAGCCAAATTTTGATTACATGACCATGGGGGTGCTGCAATCGTTGTAAGTGTGAAAAACGGTCAAAAATCACTTGTTTCAGTGCTGTTGTAATTTCAGTCACTAAATGAACTGCTGTAAATCGAGGAAAATCTGTATATGTTCTACTATTGTTTGAAATGAACTCATTTTAAATGCTTCTCTTTCTAAGGTGACCAACCGTCCTCCTTTAGGGAGGACAGTCCTCCTTTTGTAAGTTCTGTCCTCCCTCGAAAAGTGTCCTCCTACATGTCCTCCTTTTCGATATTTGAAGACTAATAATAATAATAGTAGTAGTAAAGTTGGAAGGGACCTTGGAGGTCATCTAGTCCAACCCCCTGCTCAGGCAGAAAACCCTACACCATTTCGGACAAATGGCTGTCCAGTCTCTTCTTAAAAACTTCCAGTGTTGGAGCATTTACTGCTTCTGGAGGCAGGCTGTTCCACTGATTAATTGTTCTCACTGTCAGGAAGTTTCTTTTTTCTCTCTCATAGAACGCTCAGAATGGCGTTCCGGCACCTTTTTTTATGGTTTTTTTTTTCAACTTTTGCATGAGCTGTGCTACTCCGGCTATTGGCTTTCGAAAGCCAATAGGAATTGATGCTGAGCGCGCCAAAACACCCAGCCGGCAAACTTTGCACATGCAAGTTGTCTGCAGCGAAGGCAAATTGGCAGGAACTTTGCATACACCTCCCCCCCCCCCGCTACCCAGCTACACCAACTCCTAGTTAGTCCCGAAGATACCTGGAGGAGACTGGAGCAGCGAGGCCATGGTAAGTTTCTCTTGATCTTCGGCCCTGCTAGGGCAATAATGGCTGCAGGCACAAGAGGCAGGGGTGGCAGGGCTGCTGCGGGCGGGGGTGTGAGGGGCGGTGGCGGCCGGCTGCCCCCGTGCTGTGGGAGCCATGGGGCCCCCTCTACACAGGACTGCGCAGGGTGGATGGTGGTGCTGGCGGGGCAGCTGCAGGTAGGGTATCTTGGTGGCGGGCTGCCTCCCGGGGCCGGAGCCGGCGCAGCTGGTGCTTTGGGAGCTGCGGGGCCCGCTCTACACGGGGTAGCGGTGCTGGCAGGGCAGCTGCGGGTGGTGGCGCGGCAGGCAGTTGATCTTCTATGGGCCGGGCCAGCTGGTGGTCTACCCAGTGCTGGACCTGTGCTGCCGCCACCTCGCTCTGCACGCCTACATGGCAGTCCTGGAGCACCTGGCCCGCAACACCTGCATCCACTGCCCACCCGTGCAGTACTCATTTAAATAATAATTAATAGGCATGTAAGCATAATTATATTTTTATTGTTTTCATTATAATTATATTTTTATAATTTTATTGTTACAAATGTTTTTTATTATGCATTTATCATATTATAGCGTATTCTGTATTATTGTTGCAATGAATAAAATGTTTCTTTTATTTACGATATTTTTTTCTTCAATTTATTTGTGTCCTCCTTTTCATTGTAAAAAAGTTGGCCACCTTACTCTTTCCGTACTTTTCACTTCCTTAAATGTGGAAAGTGAAATGAAATGAAGTTTTTAAGAAGAGACTGGACAGCCACTTGTCCGAAATGGTGTAGGGTTTCCTGCCCGAGCAGGGGGTTGGACTAGATGACCTCCAAGGTCCCTTCCAACTTTACTAATATGAATATGATGAATATGAAATCCAAGACTGATATTACAGAGTTAAGTGTATACTTTATCTTTATTTACTGAGAAACAGCTCAGCAATTTTGAGGAACCTCTATACCTGTTGGCCTGGCACTCAATTTCCCAAATAACCTAAAAACAACTAAACCTAGTTTAAACAAAACCCAGATATTTTCTTTAGGCTTTCCCCTTTACAAAATCCTGAAAGAAAAAGAGAAATTACTAGATAGCTGGTATGTTAAAAACCTTTTGTTAATCCTTTGAATATCTTTACTTGTTTGGTAATTTAGAAAAAAAATTGCATACCTAAAATTTCATATGATAAATCTAAGGAACTAACCTACAGTCTTCAAAACTTGAATCTCAAAAGCTACCTAGCTAACTTTTTTTGGGAGATAAATTAATACAAACAATACACCACGTTCTCACTTGATAATTATTCCTGTTCAAGAGCCATATCAGACTACACTCATTTCAATAGGGATTCTTGTTTAGTTTTAAAAAATGCCAAATAGATTCTAAAAATATTTTTACACACACATAATGTTAAACCATAAAGTGGCATTTAGCTATAGTTTAACGTGTAAATCAGAAGGTGGCTTAACTAACAAATCATTGAAGAAAATTTATGGAGCACATTGAGAATGGCTTCTGCTCTGAAATGAAAGACTCAGAAAGCAAAAGATCCCGCTTTAGCCAATATATTAGTGTTTGTTTTTTTTAACTTTGAATGGTGCAAATAATGTGAAGGCTTTTACACTGGAAGACTCTTTGTCCCTTCTGCAAAAAGTTCAGTGAATCCTGATGGCTTTATACATGCTTGTCAGTTTGATACCGATTCAAATAAAACTCTTTTTTTCCTGTAGCAAGCACAAATCTAGCACATTCTATATTTGCAACTAACATGCAATGCAAATGAAACATTTGCATTTTTAAAAAACAATGCAGAACATATTCACTAAAAGGACCAAAATATGTAAGTGATTGGGCCTTTTTTTTACAATCCTTACTGGAGCCCTATTAAACTTTCCAGCTGAAATATGTAATTTTAAGCACCCAATCAATCTAAATAACCTTAATCCTCCTGAAACGAATTAGCCTAAATCATGTTAAATCCAAGCATCTCAGTTGTTATTGTTTTCAGATTAGCTCAGAGGTTACAGAATCCACCCTGAGTAGAGAAAAAATGTTTAAATCATTAATGTAGATGTATCTTTGAAATGGGCTCTTCGTAAAACAGTACCTGATGGTCTGTGCCAAATACTCCCCCCCCCCTTTTTGTTTCACAATGGCCTAAAATCTTGAACAACCTACAAATCACAAGACAAAGACTCCTTCCTCATTCTTTCCTGGAATCAAGGCTTTGCTTCACTTGGTACTCTTTAAAGGAATTCTAGCTTTTAAATTTTGCTTAAAATTCCTGTTAAACGTATCTTTTAAGTCAAATAAACAGGGGTTACCTTGGAGATGGTTAATGGTTCTTTATGCTCCAGTCCGCCTTTCAGTGTAAATCCCCATGGGGCTCCTCCTTGGAGCAACGCTTCCAAGTAAAGGTATCTTCCTTTATGGGTTGAGTTAGCTTCTGAAGAAGAACTGAGACTTGTGTTTCCGCTGTCCAGCATCACGAAACTCATCACTTTGTCTTTCCAAGTTCCCTCTGAACACACCCTCAGTAACCCGAAAAGTCTGGGAACGAGAGCATTGAAGATGAAAAAGCTCCACATCCATGATGAGTTATCTCACTGTAGGCTACAAGAACCACCAAGAAGGGCAAGTCCATTTTCCTGGTGGCTACAAGAAGTCCACGGTGCTAGACAGAGACTTCTTCAGGCGAACGGTTGGGGGGGGGGCACCTCAATTGAACCAGTCCCACTTCATGAGTTGTTTTCAACGCGACACATTTCTCCTCCCTCTGCAAAACCTTTCCCTCTGCAAAATCTCTTTCCGTGAATGTTGCCCGAGCTGGGCCTTCTTCACAGCGCCAGGACCAGGAAGAAAGCGAAAGAAAGAAAGAAAAGGACCAAGAAGACAGAGAGAAAGTAAGACATTTCAATCTGTTGGGGAGCAAACTCTTTAAATGAGCTCCTAGGGCTTCACCTTTGATTGATGATCAGCCCTTTCTCCCAGTCCCTTGGCAATTTACCATTACAATGGCTGTTTTTTCCTCACTTCATTGCATCTGAAGAATGAAAGCATCTTTTTCTGTTCTTCAACAGGCTTTTCTGCTAACTTCACTGTTTTGTGGGTTGTCAGAAGGAGCAGGGAGAGAAAAGGAGGGTGGGAGGAGAGTAAAGCCCAGTCTTTATTTCCTTTCCTTCCCTTTCCCGTGTGCTCTGTAGAGTTTGGATGTTGAAAGACTTGCCCAGTTGAATTTATAAAGGGGGAATGAGACCATGCCAGGAAAACAGGAAAGGCAGGTGAAATTAATCCCTTGCTAAATCTGAAAGAAATAGCTTGGCTCTTTTCAGCTTTTCCCACTCTGCTGCCTCTGTTCTCAAGCCTTCTGTTGTTGAAGGAGGGTGTTCAGCCCGGAGAGGCAGCAACAGCCAAAGAGAGAGACAGTGGTGCAATTTGTTAAGGATTTCAGAAGCTGCTAGCTACAATTGATTAAAAGTGCATGCAATATAAAGTTGATTGCAGTCATTTCCACACAACGGCTGTGCTGGAAATGAAACTCTACAAACTACAAATAGTTTGATGTCCACTAGGAGTGACATGATAGCAGCAGTGTTCCAATATTTGAGGGGCTGCCACAAAGAAGACGGGGGGGGGGGTGTCCACCTATTTTCCAAAACCCAAGAAGGCAAGAAAAGAAACTATGGATGGAAACTCATCAAGGAGAGAAGCAACCTAGAACTAAGGAAAAATGACCTGATAGTGAAAACAACCAATGGAAGGACCTGCCTCCAGAAGTTTTGGGTTGCTTCATCTTTGAAGGCTTTCAAGACGAGACTGGACAACCACTTGTCTGGAATGAGTCTCCTGCTTATGCAGGGGGCTAGACTGGAAGACCTCCAAGGTCCCTTCCAATTCTGTTATTCTGTTAAATGTATGAGACTGCAGATTCCATTATTCCCAGCCATTGTGGTTCAGTTAAGAGAACTGTAGGCCAACACATAGAACAGACTTTAAACCCTTAATGTTATGTTTGGCTGACTTTGTGCCATGATAGGTGGATGCTTGCATGGAAAGAAGACAACCTTATCATTTGTAGAACATTGTGAAAAGATTCACTTATTGCACCAAATTAAAAATAAACAACCTACCTCTGTCTTTCCAATCTTCCTCAGAATCAGCTTTTTCAAAATGCAAAAGTGAAAACATACCAAGAACTCCTGACTGCCTTAGATCTCATACTTACAGATAGAATACTCCAAATCCTTAATTTCTAATCCAATCCAGCTACCAAATATCCAACATTTTCAATGAAAGGAGAGATAAACAAAGATGAAAACAGCTCTCCAAATGAAACAAATTTATTCTGATATCAAAATATATTTTATGATATGCCGGCTGATCTGGAAGTATTTATTAGATCTGGTGAAGAAAACTGTATTTTAAGTGCGGCCCACTTAAATTCTAGACCTTAATGCAATTAAAAGATGTCAACAGTAAACCAGATTATGTGAAATGTTTCAATCAATAATAACTTATCTGCTTGAGAGATCTAGAATGCGCTGGGTCCATTATTCTCTGAACTGATTACCAGTTTGGGCTGGATCAGTTAGCAGAGGTCCACTATGTCAGGGTGACTTAAAATTCTTTTCTATGAAGTGGTGATTGCTATAAAAAATCCATAGTCTAAAGGGAAAAGTTGATGAATAACACCACCAATAAGGTCTTCTTTAGGATCAGTTAAAAGAACAGAAGAAAATGGCGGGAGAAACAAGAAGTTTCCATAATAATTTCCAGGTGAAGTTTGGGAGTTTGCTTATTCCTGGTGAGGACAAAATATATTGTTGAAAAGATGCATGTGATATTTGTACACACAGCTCTCCCAGATCTCAGACAGGAAGAAAGGAAGAAAGGAAGAAGGAAAGAGGAAGGAGGAAGGAAGGAAGGAAAGAAGGAAGGAAGGAAGGAGGAAGGGAGGGAGGGAGGGAGGGAGGACTTACAAATTAAAATTAAAGTCCTTGTAAAATAAGGCACTCCATTAATAAAACTATTCTCATATCTGAATGTATTGACTTTTACCTCACACAAACTACTCTCTCACACAGATATGTACTTGTATGCAATTCTTCCACAAATATTTTGTTTTTTATTTCCATCAGAAGCTGCGCACACACTTACATGTGTGTACATAAACACAGAGAGATAAAAATACACAGAATGGATATAGATGGAAATTTTAAACCTTTTTTTTTTTGTTGTTATGCCTAAACAGGGTTTTTCTTACTTTCTGATTTTTCTTGGCTCTTCACGTCTCTTTGGTTCATCTCAATCCATTTTTTTTTCTTACTGTTCATTTTCTGAAGATCGATGGATTAACTGTTGTCAGGTTGTTGTTGACCTTTTGTGGCCTCCTATACAGGCTTTGTCCAGGATCAATTTTCTGATGGGAATATCTTAAATTTAGAATTGTCTTTTATTGGGATAAAGATAACAATATTTTAAAAGACAGGAACAAAATGCAACAGTAATTTGACAACTTGCAGAATATAACAGAACGAAATTTAATAAAAACAAATTAGGTTTCTTCACAAGCGAAAAGGCGATCAAACGCACAGTTACCAAAGAAATGGAATGGAATTTAATAAAAAATAAGATTCTTCACAAGCAAGAATGAGATCAAGTGCACAGTTACAGGGTAAATGGTGCTTGGTTTGGTAATGACCCACTTGTAAAGTATCTTGGAACTGTAGCTGATCACAACCCAAATATAAGAAATGTAGAGTAATGATGGTTGCTAAAAAAAGAAATGCAATTTTCATCTACAACCTAATCCCCAATTATGGGAAGTAATAGTTCCATTATATCTTAATTCATCTGATCCCAACTGTGATAGCAGGTACAGTTTTTGGCCACCCAAATTTATAAGAAGAAAACTATACAGGTAGTCCTCAACGTACGATCACAACTGAGCACAACATTTCTGTTGCTCAGTGAGATGGTTATTAAGTGAGTTTTGCCTCATTTTAGGACTTTCTTGTCACAGTTGTTAAGCGAATCGCTGCAGTTGTTAAGCTAGTAACACGGTTGTTAAGTGAGTCTGGCTTCCCCATCGACTTGGCTTGTCAGAAGGTAATATAATAATAATAATAAAAATGATGATGATGATAATAATAATAATAATGTTGGAAGGGACCTTGGAGGTCATCTAATCCAACCCCCTGCTCAGGCAGGAAACCCTATACCAGTGGTTCTCAGCCTGTGGGTTGGGATCCCATTTGGGGTCGAACGACCATTTCACGGGGGTCGCCAAACAACGCAGTCCGCCATTTTCCCCCCCTTTTCCTTAGCTGTGCTACTCCCTTTTATTCTATTGGCTTTTGAAAGCCAATAGAATAGACTCTTGAATAGAGTCTAATTCTATTGGCTTTCAAAAGCCAATAGGAATTGCCCAGGCTGTCTGTCCTGCTGAGCCTGCCAAAAGTCCCATTCTGCAAACGGTGCTGCACCAGTTGAGTAGTCCTCGACTTACGACCGGTTGGGGGTTGCAGCATTAAAAACGTTGAGAACCACTGCCCTGTACCATTTCAGACAAATGGCTGTCCAGTCTCTTCTTAAACATTTCCAGTGTTGGAGCATTCACCGCTTCTGGAGGCAGGTTGTTCCATTGGTTAATTGTTCTAACTGTCAGGAAGTTTCTCCATCACATGACCCCCAGACACTGCAGCTGCCATAAATATGAGTCGGTTGCCAAGCGCCTAAATTTTGTTCATGCTGCAACAGTCATAAGTATGAATAACGGCCATAAATCCCTTTTTTGAGTGCCATTGTCACTTCAAACAGTCACTAAATGAACTGTTGTAAGTCATCATTGTCTCCTGATGATTGGCCCAAAGTCAAGGTGGATTTTTTTAAAAAAAGAGTTAGTGAGGTAATCAAGGAATACAGGGTTACAGTATTTTGATCTGAAATCCCCAGGCAATCATATTGTGTGAATGAGACTTCATGAATTTCCAGGTTCAGGCTTACCAGTAGAGAACACGATCTACAATAAGAGTGTCCAATCTTGGCTGTTTTCAGACCTGTGGACTTCAATTCCCAGAATTCCCCAGCCAGCATTAAAATTCAAATAAAATGGCTGGCTGGGGAATTCTGGGAGTTGAAGTCCACAGGTTTTAAAGCTGCCAAGGTTAGACACCTCTGCTTTACAAGATTTGTGGCGTGGCTTGTGAGCAAGAACAGGCCCCCCTTTTTTTTTAACAGTGGTTGAACAGACCCACTTTGCTAGCGAAACCGGACACCAGACGTTGTTGAGTGTGGTTCCCACACAAGCACATAGCTCTTATCAGAGGTGGAGTCTGTTGCCTAGGTGACCCACCAGACAAAGGCAGGACACCGCCTGCTACTGATCCAACAAACTCTCCCGCCGTTTTGCACCTCGCCAGCTCTCTTCGGTGTCCAATGCTTCCCAGTGTGCCATGTGCATAAAGAAGAGTGAAGCATGAAGCCCAGGACACCCCTCAAAGTCCCCTTCTCCCCTTGGATGAACACAGCAAGGTCACTCCATGAGCCGGTTCCTCACCAGAATTGGCATGAGAAGCGCTTATATTTGCAAAGTACGACAAAGCAGAATTCCGTCAGAGGTGCATCAGAGGTAGGTGTCTCATTGCTCAGGATGGGCTGTGTGGGGTTTTTTTTTTTTTTTTTGCTTCACAATGTCTTGCTTTGTTCAAACTTTGGGGAAACCCCCCCCCCCAAGATTCTAATTCAGAATGCCCTCTCTCTGCGCTTTCTCGCACACAATTAATTTATGGTGGAAAATCTGCTCTCTTCTTTAGCCACTTAGGCGGAAACAGGGCTGAATTTTATAGGAGTGAGTGCTGTGCTTAGATTTAAAATTTGGGGAGGGGTGAATGTTTACCTGTTAGGCAGAGAGATTTGGAGGGATGGGATGAAAACTGGTCTCATATTTAAGCAGATAAGTATGTAGGGATTAGGAAGTGCTGAACACCTACACAACCTATAAGCGGCCACTTTGCAACCTGATACACAAGTGCCTGTGTATCAGCAGATGACGTTATGAGGTAAATTTAATTATTTATTTGTCTCCTGCTCTGATTATTTTTTTACAAATAACTCAAGGCAGTGAAGACATCCCACACACTTTCCTCCTCCTATTTTCCCACAACTACAATCCTGTGAGGTAAGTTGGTCTAAGACAGAGGTAGGCAACCTTGGCTCTTTTATGACTCATGGGGACGCTGCAAATGTAATAATAATAATAATAATAATAATAATAATAATAATAACAACAACAACAACAACAACAACAACAATAAAGTTGGAAGGGATCTTGGAGGTCATCTAGTCCAACCCCCTGCTCAGGTAGGAAATCCTATACCAGGGGTAGGCAACCTTGGCTCTTTTATGACTCGTGGACTTCAACTCCCAAAATTCCTGAGCCAGCTATGCTGAGGGGAAAGGGAGAGGTTTCCAAGCTGAGCCATGCTGGTTCAGGAATTCTGGGAGTTGAAGTCCACAAGTCATAAAAGAGCCAAGGTTGCCTACCCCAGTCTAAGAGAGAATGACTGGCCCAAAGTCACCCCGGTGGCTTTCTTGCCTAAGATGGAACTAGAACTCACTGTCTCCTGATGATTGGCCCAAAGTCAAGATGGATTTTTTTTAAAAAAAAAAAGAATGTAGCTGTCAAGTTGCAAAGAACACTTATGCTGTTTCAGCCATCATTGCTTCTTAGTTTGCCTACAGACTCAGGGGATAGGAGGAAGGAGTGGAATGTGGAGGTGCCAAATGGCCAGGTCATGAGAACCAAGGTTGCTCAGATATTGTTTACAAGAACTGAAGACTTTCTCTCATAACAACTGTCTGAAGCTTATTTGGACAATGTGACCTGCACTATTAGGGGAGGAGAATTTCTATCCTTTTAATATACTGATTTTGGAACCAATTAGCCAGAGCTGGTTTTCCATTCATCTATGCCGAAATGCTGTACTCAATAAAGTTTTGCATTAGAGACTGGATCGTCTCAGCTGTGCTTGCTTTGTTGGGTTTGTCAGTTGGAACCATGACAGTAGTTCTCATGAGAGAGAATTGCATTCCAGAGGGGTGATTAAAAAGTCAAGTTGGCGACCACAGTGCCCATACAAATTGAGTGGAGCTTCAATCTGCCTTCGTGAAAACAGGAGACCATTTGCCTGAGTTCAGCGATTATAATTTGCTTCACCATAATTTGTTGAACAAGCCACAGTTCCCACCCAATTAGCTAAGCCGACTTCAAACATTGACAATAGGGATTAATATCATGAAGGAAAATATTGTTTTTCCTCTGGAGGCCTTCCATGCTGAGGATGTTAAGAGTGGTCACCCCAAAACAGCTGGAAGATGCCAGGTCAGAGAAGTCTATCTTGGAGCCAGTGTCTCTTTATACAACCTTTGAGGTTGATCAGATGGGGAAACAGACTCCCCAGAAAGATTGAGTGTTTTTCAATCTTGGCCACTCCCAGAATTCCCCAGCTAGCCATGGGGAATGGCAGCTAGGGAATGCCAGCTAGGGCATTCTGGAAGTTCACACAGCCAGTGTGGTTTAGTGTTTAAGGCCAGGGTCTTCAAACTTGGCCCTTTTATGACTTGTGGACTTCAACTCCCAGAATTCCTCAGCCAGGCACATGCCTGGCTGAGGAATTCTGGGAGTTGAAGTCCACAAGTCATAAAAGGGTCAAGTTTGAAGACCCCTGGTTTAAGGCATAGGCTAGAAACCAGGAGGCGATGCATTCTAGTCCCATCTTAGGCATGAAACATGGCTGTGTGACTTTAGGCCAATCACCAGGAGACGGTGAGCTCTAGTGCCGCCTTAAGCATGAAAACCAGTCGGGTGACTTTAAGCCAATCGTTAGGAGAGGGTGAGTTCTAGTCCCGTCTTAGGCATGGAAGCCAGCTATGTGACATTGGATAAATCTCTCTCTCTCAGCCCAATCCACCTCACAGGGTTGTTATGGGGAAAATAGGAAGAGGAAGGCATACGGCATGTGTTTGCCACTTTGAGTTATTTCTAAAAATAATAAAGATGTTATATAAATAAGTTCATTAAAAATAAATAAATTAAAGATGCCAGAGCTGAGAAGCACTGAACTAACTATAACCATATTGTTGTTGGTGGTGGTGGTTGTGAAGTCGTGTCCGACCCATCGCGACCCCGTGGACAACGTTCCTCCAGGTCTTCTCTACCATCTTCTGGAGTCCATTTAAGCTCACGCCTACTGCTTCAGTGACTCCATCCAGCCACCTCATTCTCTGTCGTCCCCTTCTTCTATTGCCCTCCATCTTTCCCAGCATTAGGCTCTTCTCCAGTGAGTCCTTCCTTCTCATCAGGTGGCCAAAGTATTTGAGTTTCAACTTCAGGATCTGGCCTTCTAAAGAGCAGTCGGGGTTGATCTCTTCTAGTACTGACCGGTTTGATCGCCTTGCAGTCCAGGGGACTCATAGGAGTCTTCTCCAGCACCCTAGTTCCAAGGCCTCAATTCTTTGGTGCTCAGCCTTTCTTACGGTCCAACTTTCACAGCCATACATTGCAACTGGGAAAACCATGGCCTGGACTATATGCACTTTTGTTGGCAGAGTGATGTCTCTGCTTTTTAGTATGCTGTCTAGATTTGCCATAGCTTTCCTCCCCAGGAGCAAGCATCTTTTAATTTCTTGGCTGCAGTCCCCATCTGCAGTGATCTTGGAGCCCAGGAAAATAAAATCTGTCACTACCTCCATTTCTTCCCCATAACCAACCATACTGAGGGGTCCTTGGTGCTCTCTGAGTTGGCTTGTTTTCTTGCGGATGTTCCATTACCCTAACTAGGTAACATCATCAGGACTAGCACTGATGAGGTTACCTAGTTAGGGTCATGAAACATCTGCAAGAAAACAAGCCAGCTCAGAGAGCACCAAGGACCCCTCATTTCAACCCTGAGCTACAAAATATTCTCCTTCATTGGCTAACTATATTGAGCTAGGTTCGAATAAAAACACCTTGGGTGATCTTTTCCTTCCAACGTATACTCCAGAAAGCCAGGGAGGAAAGTCTTTTGCTTAGCCTTTCCTTGTTTCCCAGGCTCAATGCATTTTTCTGTCAGAAGTTGTTGAAACAAGTCTTTGCATGATTCCTCCATGTTATTCTTGGCTCTCAAGCCAGTCCCTGCAGTACCACCTCCTAACAGCAGAGGCCACTGTGGTTTTGCAGGCCGCTGATGATCTGTCCAGTCTATTTCTTTCCCCACTGGTCCTTCGCAGGTGAGTTGCCAGGGGGCGGGGCAACCTGCAGCAGGTGGGACACACCTTGGGCCTCGGGGAGCAGGCTCTCCGCAGTGTCCCCCCTACCCTTGTTCTTCCAAGGTGGCCAAGCCTCTGGCTGTGTTGAAGGGAGATGCTGTCAAGGTGGGGCAAACCAGCCTCACCTGGGCGTCCTGGGTAGCCCAAGCCATCCCCCAGGATCAGAGACCGACTGAGTCCTTTGAAGGAGTCCACAGTGCCATCCAGGCCTGGCAGACTGCTCCAGCAGATGGGTGAAGCTTTCCAGGTGCCCAGCAGTCTTAGCAGGAGAAGCCCTGAAGGGCTTGTAGGTGGGATTTGAAAGGGGAAGACCAGAGATTCCGACAGATCGCCCTCCGTAAGTCGGGATTTTGTACGAGATCTTTATTTTTCTATAAATAAACACATACATTTTAATTGGCGAAGCACAGCAAACTGAGCAAAATTCATATATCAGTGAGTGGTAAACAAAATCGATATTCATAACAATGATGGATACAGAGGGAATATAAAGGGGGGAAAAAATCTAAGGAAAAGAGAAAATCTAAGATACTTCCATTGATCCCTGAATCAAGATCATGTTGTTTCTCATTTTTAGAATACCAAGATCTTCTAAAGCAGGTGGCTTTAGCCCTGGACAGCTAATCACCCAGGCCCACATGATCTATAAAACGTAAAAAAACAAATACAGGAACTGTATTATTTGTATACATCAACTATATTTTATATGCAGCCCAAGACAATTTCTCTTCACTCAGCGCAGCCCAGGCAAGCCAAAAGGTTGACAAACATGCTGATTGATGAAAAACACCAGAATAAGAATATTCTTCACATCAGAATAGGTTTCTTCCCCTCTTGGTTTCCTTAGCTGAACCCTAATAATCAGAATAATCAGAATAACAGAGTTGGAAGGGACCTGGTAGATCATCTAGTCCAACCCCCTACCTAAGCAGGAGACCCTGCACCATTTCTGACAGATGGCGCCTGTTATGAATAGCTGAGTGTCTCAGAGGCTTTGATTCACAAACAAGCCAATGTCATTTCGGTGTAGCCCAGGGGTAGGCAACCCTGGCTCTTTTATGACTCGTGGACTTCAACTCCCAGAATTCCCGAGCCAGCCATGCTGAGGGGAAAGGGAGAGTTTCCAAGCTGAGCCATGCTGGCTCAGGAATTCTGGGAGTTGAAGTCCACCAGTCATAAAAGAGCTAAGGTTGCCTACCCCTGGTGTAGCCGAGTTTGAATGCCAGCTTACATGGTTAACTTACGATTCAGTGTGTTGTGAGAAGCTAGAGAACTGAGTAGACCAAAGGTAAGTGTTCCATGAGACTAAAATTGTGAGAT